AAATTTTAATTTTTTAAAAATTAAATACTCTTTTTAGAATAACTTTTGAAATTTCAGTTTAAATTTACCAAGGTTATTGATATATTTCTTTAATTAAAGAAAATGCTTCATATAAAACTCTCTGAAATATCAGATGTTATTGGATGTTATTGACTTTAGTGAAGGAAATAGCTTTAGAGAACAATTTTACGAAGTTTCGTTATGTATTACTTAGTAATATTTGTGGTTTGTCATATGGTCAATCATAATTTAATTAAATTCTATTATAAAATGTATATAAATAATTATGTAATAATGATCACTAAATTTAGACTTTCCCTATGCTTTACGATCTAAATAAATAAATAAATTTTTTTTGAAAAAATTAATTGTTAAATTTTTTAATTTTAAAAAATGGTAACTTTTAAATATATTAAACAAGAATTAGAATAAGCAAACACTAGATTAGATGAGACAAAAAAAAAGTTAGATGAGTTGGAGGAGAAGTTGGAGGAGTTGGAGGAGAAGTTGAACAATAAAGAATTAGGAGATGATGTAGAACAGAAGAAGAGGTGGAAAGGACGAATAAAGAGATTGATTGAAGAAAAAGAAGAGTTGAAAAAGAACAAGGATGATTGAAAGAACCAAACAATTAATTTACAAAATAAATTAGCCAAATTCAGTGGAGGAGAAGGTAATGAACAAATTGTATAAAAAAAATATACAAAAAATTATTTTTCATTCATTACATTTTGTTTTATTTATTTGTTTGATATACTATTTACAACTTTAACTAACTTGCAGTTTTTTCTTTCCACTGCTTCTATCAATCGATCTATTTTAGAGAAAGGTAAGTAACTTTTGATAATTCTTATGTTTTCAAACTTACACTATTGTTATTTTTCTTTACAGGAATTAAAAGTATGAGTTGGAAACCTCTTTTCATAACCAAAGGCTTGTAATCAGATACTAGTCTTTTTTGTATAATTTTAAAGCATTTGTTATTACCCATTAACACTAATTTATTACTTTCATTAGAATTAAGCAGAGCTTTCAGCATTGATTATAAAGATAATGATGATTTCATATGTGAACTGAAAGAACAATTGAATGTAATTACTAATTCAGAAGGCTATTTTAATTATCTGCCAGTCATTCAATCATCTGGTTATGGAAAAATTAGGGCTGTTTGCCAGCTTGCTAAATCTCACCCACTAATATATGTGTGTTTTCATTCAAAAACTTCAACTGGGCATCCACCTGCTACACCAAAAAGCAATATCATGCATCAAGAGCTAATGAATATGAAGAATATAGATGAAGCTCATACTGTGGCATTTTCTTGGCTGAGATCAATGATTCAAGTATTCTGTGAGATGGGATTAGAAAAAAAATCTGAAGACTTGTTATATAATGAAGTAGGATAAGTTGTTTTTATTACCATTGTTTAATATATGATATGCTTAACCTTTTTGCTTTTTAAAGAATCTAGCTAATAGATTCTGGGAAAATGTTTATGATTAGAAACAGAAGCAGAAAGATAATAAATAGATTTTAGAAAAAAACTTTAAAAAGATAATAATTTTTTTTGATGAAGCATCTTCTCTTCTTTATGATGGTAAGTATATAGTTTTTTGAATAAATTTCAATATAATCTAATTGACACATTTGAAGTCTTTTTCATTGTTAGTTAACAAAAACAAAACGGATATAGGATTTAGAGCAATTCGTAAAGTACTCTTGGATCTTAGACAATACTCATATGATATACTCACAGATCCCAACTCCTCAGTTGCTAATCTAGCACTTTCAAAGGAAGATGATCCATCAGTAAGTATTTAATGAGACTATGAGTATATATTTCCCTATACATGAAATTGAGTGATATGACTTTTATTTTAATTTAAAGGCACGTGGTAAATTGAGCATCTGTAAACCATTCTTCTATATTTCAACACATGATTGTTTAAGGTTTGTTATTTTTCTTTTTTGTGCATTTTTTTAAGTAAAAATCATATGCTTATCAAGTTTTTATAGAGGCTTTAAAAAACTTCCACATGAAGATGATGATTTGGGATATAGTATTATTCAATTTGGTCAGCCTCTTTGGGCTCTCTTTGGGCTGCTAAGCAAGATGTAGATGATTAAATCAGATTCCAAGATATAATTTGTCTTGCAAAACAGAAGCTTCTTGGTGGTGTTGTTTCTTGGAAATATCTTAATGAAGTAGACAAGAAAATAGCAGCACTTGCTGTAGTTTCCAGTGTTACAACTACATGTCTCTCCAGTTTTATCTATTACAAGTGCTTTGGTAATGTCGCACATGGCTACATTGGTTGCAATCGGTGAAGATCATAGATATCATATTATCACATATCCATCAGAACCTGTAATGTCAGAAGCAGCATTAGAATTGCTTTCAGAGAAAAATGTTGAATTTGAAATACTGGGTGAACTGGGTAATACCTTTCAATCAGGTGGCATCCTTGATGCTGGTAGTCAAGGAGAACCAGTTGTGAGATTGCTGTTTTTAGGTACTTGGTGTTACCTTATCTCCTCAAAAAGAGGGAAAAGCCCCAACAATAAGGTATCTATTAAGTAATGTTTATAAGAAATTATTTTCAACATTTGTTTGCATGATCTCACTCTTGAATCTATATAAAGATACTCTTTTCCATTTGCCTTCCAATCTTGGACTTTCTTCAGGAGCTCTTCAACAAAAATTTTTAAAGAGACAAATTTTTACACCTTGAACATTTTCAGATTGGTTTTACCTACTTTGTTATGCTTGATTATATGCCAGATAAGCAAATGTTTTTGGAAATTTACAGGTGACATGCTGCTATAGTTTGTTAATGTAACCAAGAAGGTGTTGATCTAGTGATTCCTATTATGCATAAAAATAAAAATGATATTAGGGCAATTATAATTCAAGTATTTCAGATACATCTCTTAGTTTAAATTTGTGTTAGCTAAAAAATAATTGTATTTATAGGTCAAAAATTATAAAGATAAGCAATCCCAAAATACAATGAGAAGAAAAACTGAACCATCACTTTCACCAGAGATTGTTTTCACTGAAGAGCTAAAAAAATGTATTGGAAAAAATAATTTAGGAATATATTTAAATATTGGTAAGGAAATGTCCACCTGCATTTGTTATATGCTAAAAAAAATATTAGTTAACAAAATTTTTATTTGTATTATAGGACAAGCATATATGGAAGAACCTTTTATTCAACCATGTTTTTATGATAGGAAAAAAGTTACCTTTGATACTGATCTATCTATAACAATCACTACTCGTTCTCAGTCTACATTTAAGCTACCTGAAGATAAACTTTATAATTGACTCCTTATTGGTAGATTGGGTTCTTTCAATTTTACTGAAAAATACAAAAACCTGTTTCAGAATCTTTTATATTCATGGATTGATCCATTCAATTATACAAAATCATTCAATCATCAACAGATTTTACGTCAGATGACATTTTCTACTTATGGCAAGAAAAGGTAAAGATCCCTTTTCTTTTATTGTGATTTAAATTTATATAATTTGCCTACTAATGATATCATATATTGGATAGGTCATTGGATGGTGAAAATGATATAGATAGAGTGAATAAGAAAATGAAAAAAGGTGAAGATTTGTAAACATCATTTCTAACCAAAATAATTATATTAGTTTATTTTGATTATTTATTTGATTATTAATATTAATATTTGTTTGTCAAATTACTTATTTTTTTTATTTTGAATATTATATTTGATTATTTATTATGTAATCTAATTAATCTAGTTTATTAATGTTTAATATTATGATAATAATAGAATTGCATATGGTGAAGGTTTTTAGATTTAGAATATTAAATAAAGTAATTCATATAAAGATATATTTCTGTAGATAGTATGGCATCCTAATATTAAATTAGGATTATAGAGCCTACAAACCAATTGTGTAAAATATATATATGTATATATATAATATACTGTATATAGGGATAAGTGTATATGAAAAGTAATAAATATAATGGTTCTAATGAATATGAAAAGGCAATTGATTTTTTAGAAAAAGGTTGTAAATGTGGTTGCTCTTTCAGAATTCTCAAGGAAGAATTTGCAGAATTAAGGAAATCCTTTCAAGCTCTTTTCAAGTCTGAACAAGACATATTTTTAATGGTTCAGATTAAAGCAATGGATGGTGGGACAGTAAGTGTCAGTAGACGCCTTAAAAAGAAAACCAGATTTAATAAAAGAACTTTCTATCACTGGGATCACAATACACCTCTTTGTCAAGAGACTTATTTTAATATGCTAGGAATTGGTAGAACATATTTTGAAAACATCAGAAATCATCTGATAAACCATGGTCTTTTAACAAGAGTTCATGGTAATATTAAAAGGATACCTCAATGGAAAACTAAAATGATGATTGATAAAAATGTTGCTGAAGTAGTAAAAAATTTTCTGAAAAATTATGCTGAAGTCTATGGATTACCAAGTCTAGGAAGGAGTGTCAATAGAATAACTCAGTCAGTTATCTTTTTATCAGCTGAAATGAGTTATAAATCAGTGTATAGAGATTTTCTAGCTGGCCTGAAAAAAATAGTAATTTAAAATCCTTAAAATATGATGCTTTCAGAAAACTATGACATCAATTGACACCAGAGATTCAAATTATGAGTCTAAGAACTGACTTATGTGATACTTGTCAATATTTTAGAGATGGATTACATTACAATGCTCACCAAGAGGAAGAAGCTAAAGATTTACTCAAAAGATTTAAAGAACATCTGTCTAAAGTCAAATTAGAGAGAAATTATTATAATAAAAATACAAAATTAGCAGAAGAATAAAGAAAATTAGTTAATCAAAATTATTTCAAGGGTAAAACAAAATATTGCAGTATTGATGCTACTGCTCATTATAGTTATGATTGAGCCCAAAATGTTCATGTATCACATTTAGATCAACAAGTAAGTAAAATCTATTACCTTAGTCTATGTAAAATCCATTTATTTGGTATTCAAGATGAAGCAGTAAGAGAGCAGATTAACTATATATTTGATGAAAATGAAATCATAGGAAAAGGACCAAATAGCATACTTAGTATGATCTTTGATAGAATTAAGAAATTGAATAAAGATGAAAAGTATCTAAAGATTACTTGTGATAATGTTGGGGGACAAAATAAAAATAATTTAACAATTTGGTTTTATTTGTAACTAGTAATTTGTGATTATTATAAAAATATTAAATTGAATTTTATGATTCCAGGACATACTAAATTCAAATGTGATGGTAGCTTTGGTTTAATAAAAAAACTCTATAGGAAAATAAGAGTAGATTATCAGGATCATGTGATTGATGTGATGAAAAGATCTAGTCCAGCAGGATTGAATAAAACTCAATGTTATGAAGGTGGAAAAGGCTTTCAATATTTAGATATTAAAGCTATTTTGGGAATTTATTTTAAGAAATTAAATGGTCTGCAAAAATATCAACATTTTCTTTTTGAAGCATCTAATCTTGATACAGTGAAAATTCAAGAAGTTGTTAATGGACTTTTTGCTGAATTCAATTTATTAAAAACTAAGAAAGCAGATATTTTTGAAGAGATTAAATCTTTATCTATTTTAGTATTAACACCAACTCCTTTGGATTATAAAAGGCAAGAATATCTTTATCATAATATTCGTCCATTTGTTAGAGATGAATTTAAAGACATTACTTATCCAAGACCAATCTATACTAGTAACAAATAAATATTCAAAATAAAATCACTTCCATGATTTTGTTTCTCATTAATTTGTCCCTTGTATTATTAAGTTTAATAAGTTTAATCTTTTGACAAATATTATTAGCTTTTTTCACTTTTAAAGCAAAAAAGTACTAAAATAATTTATATACTTAAATAAGAAGGATATAAGTATATTAAATAATAAATAAAAAAAGGAACAAGCAAGTAAATCATGAAAAACATAATAAATGAACAACAAC